GGACCTTTTGTCCCACTGGAACCATTCTATCCTTTGGTTCCGGAACATTGCTCTTAGGGTCCAACCCTACAGTTTCGCCCTCCTAGTACACATATAGATATGTACAGCACGATATGGATGTCAGACTTGATCGCCGTCGTAAAACGTGAAGACATTTTGTCACTCATTTTAAGTTCCCCCGTGCGGGTAATTTGCGCTTATGTCCCTTCTAATGAACTGGCTTATGACTTACTACATTTATCTTCATACTAGAACTTTTTCTTTGCGTGCAAAATGACTCACCAGAACACTCGGACGTTTGAAGACAAACTGGCGCTTATACGAAACATTTCCGAATTAAATAACCTTCGCATTGCCGGCAAACTGACCGATTTGACTATAGAGGTAGGTTTATTGCGTAAATCCCCAGTTCACATCTCACTTTAAGCTGTAAGACAAAGTCATACTGCATGCACACAGGGTTGTTTTTGCTTCCCGTGTGCCTTCATTGTGTGATACCTTGTGTAAAAGGCCTACGAAAGGCCAGGCTGTCGTGCTACAGTGGCCAACAGTTTCTTCAGAGTACTGGCTCATGTTATATTACGACTGTGCTCTAGAGTCGCTTCCCCATTAGTGAATTATATTTATACAGGCCAGCTTAAAGTCCACGAAGCCAATACGGTTGGTCTGGTTATGCTGTCACAACAACTCGCGATGCCTGAAGTGGAAGACTGGGCAGTGAGTTTAATGGCCGCCAGGTAAGTATTTTCGCGTTATAATTAGATAGCAGGCTGAACTCTGAAAACATTGCAAATAACTGGGGGCTTGCACAGTTGCTCAAAAGTGACAGGTTAAGGAATGCCTGCCTGGATTACATCAAGGCTACATTTGAGGTCACAGTTTCCAGGGAGTTTTTCATCCAGCTGCCATCTGATGTTGTCCTGTCTCTCCTGCGAGCAAATGACCTTCATGTGGACGGCGAAGAGACCGTCTTCAAGTCGATTGGGCGATGGATCAGTCCACTCGGCAAAGTGGATGAAAGACGATTGCGGCACGCAGAAGCGATGATGAAGGAAGTGCGGTGAGATGAAGTTGATAGTGAATTCCGTTGCAGTCTCCAGGATGACGATGAAGGCTTTTGGAATAACAATTTAGGATGTTCGTAAGTTGTCGGACCTCATTTAGCTATTTAAACTATTTAAGACGACTTCTAGGTCGTATAAGCAACTGGATCGCATCCAATCGATCGGGGAATCTGAATAGAAAGTGTCCGTTTAATAACGCATGCCGAAATCTACTAGGGAAAATCTGTCTACTCGGTAGGTCAGCGACCGGAGGGCAATGTTTGCTGACCCGGTACGATGCTGACACTAACACCTCGCAGAGATTAACAGACGTAACGGCCGGATTGGACGCTGTATGTGTGGTCATTGAAGGTAAGTCAGTGTTAATCGAACTTTGGGGGCCTTATTACAGTTTTCATTTATTTTACGTGGTCGCGGCATGTAACATACAATAATCAGGACATGGTCGAACTCGCTAATTATCCTACTTACATCAAACAGCAGAAAAACATCAGCTTTGTTTGCGCTCTGATGAAGATCGCGTTGGGTGAATGCCCTTCTTTCAAATTTTTAACCTAGGCATTGTGCTTTCTAACCGTTAGTGGCAAACAGTAGTTGTTTTTAAATCTTTGACACCTTTTGTGGAATCCTGCGGCAATTACCTGGTAAAAGAAACTGTTTAAATGGTGCTCTTTTGTCATAGCCCTTCAATATCCGTAGTACGCTCAGTATAGAGCCTGTCATCGCGTATAAATATACTGATTTCACTTGATCAACTCCTTACATTCATGTATCTAATCATCTAGTCATCTCATTTTCTACTCAGTTTTTCATTATCCCCATCTTATCCTTCGGCTCAGTATAGGGCCTGCTGCCGCGTTTCAGTATCGATGCCTTACATTTATTTTTAATCCTCTGTCCACCTCTTTTCCTACTTCGCTTCCAATTACGCTGAAGCAGATTGCATCTTTGCCATTGGAGGATACAAGCAGGATGGCGAATTTACACGCTTTGATAAATTTGATACGAGAGAACACCGATGGACTGAATGTGCACCGCTCCCCGAGTGGCGGGAGAAACATACGGCAGTCGCTGTCCCAGTTTGTGAGGAAACCGTGATATGCGTGTGTGGAGGCAGAAATAGCCAAGGCGACTCGACTGACGCATGTGCGCTCTATTCTCCACACGAAAACAGGTGAGTATGTGAGGTGTCGTAACTGAGTGATAGCGACGTGGAAATTCTGAATGGTAAATTCTACCAGGTTACCATCCCAAAGCTAGGACCTCATACCCGCCGTCTGGTCAGTAAGCCCTTATTTTCATGTCCATTTCCAATCAATTCTTCCTGCGCCGTATAGGTTTGTGGTTCTTAGTTGAGGTCCGCGCAAATTCAGCTGATTATTCCACTTGACGTTTTAACAAACTGAAGAAAGGTCTTTATTGTGTCCAGTGGCTATGGTAGACCGTTCTGTATTTGCTATGGAGCCCGGGACACTGGCCACGATAGGCATACTTCAGCAGGGGAAGGCGTAAGGACGCAGCCCTGCTTCACTCGGAAACTGCCCCATTGTCCGCGGTGGGATAGGCTCTTGCGAGCAAACCGGGCACCCTGCATTTTCCACTGTTCTACAAGCTGACGGCTAAGGTGGATGGCTGGTTTCGTGGCGTTGGTAGAGTAGTCAGCTTAAGCTTTGCGCAGGCGGTTCCTCTCGGTGAGTAGGTTGCTGATGACTGCATCACTTTTTCGCAAACTAGTGTTGGGGGTAGCTTACCTTGAAGAATCCTACGTGGTCAAATGCAGATCTGCATTTTAGGGTATGAGAAGACAATAATGATTTCATCTGTTGGCACTGGGATGGCATTTGTCACCAGTACGTCTTGCTGTTCACGCTGGCAGACGAGGCCATAACACCAATTCCTGCGGTGCTCTGCGCAGGTTTGCAGAAGGAACAGGTCATTGTCATCGAAACCTTGGAAACCGAAGGCAACTAGCACTCCTCTTCAGGCTATGCGGTCTGTGCCGATGCGAGCGTTGAAATCACCAAGGACAATCAACTTGCCCATATTCGAAACAGTTGCCAGCAAGGCGTGCAGGTCCTCGTAGAACTTATTCTTTGTTTCGTCGGTGGTGGAGGCTCATCAGGTTGACGTTAGTGCCTTGTGGCAAACACGCATACACCATCTCAGGTCACAAATGGGGGGATGTCTGATAAAGGCAAACCTAACGAGGGATCACTTTTATATTTAGCCATCTTCCATGTTACGACTTTTTGTGTGCTTGGATGACCACAAATGAGTTCCATTTAATGTACCGATGGAATTACCAGAAGGAGGACACCTCTGTATTTGCAAAACGTTGCCATCCCTTTCATTACCTTGTTTTTCTTCTGCAGATGGTACGAACTGCCAAATTTGAAACGAATAAGGGAACGCGCTGCCTCGGTTGCATTGCCAGACGGACGCCTGTTTGTGATTGGAGGTGTAGACAGTGGTCTTTCCTTCCTACGTGGCTACTCGGGCTCTTCAGTGGAGACTTGCCATCTCCAGGAGCCAGCAGACTGGCAAGGAGAATTAGAAGTATCGAACGTCTTTTGGAAGGATGTTGCTGCCATTCTAGAGCCACGTAAAGACCACACCGCGGTTGCATTCAGGGACAGCATTTTCCTTGCTGGGGGCAGCAATTTGGAGGGATACTTGAACACAATTGATGTCTTCATTCCGCCCGACAACCAGCGACCGTTTGGACAGTGGACGCGTCTCGCTGGTTGGGACACGGGAAGGCCGACTGCTGCTCTTCTCGTTTGTGAAGAAAGACTCTTTTCTTTCAGTAAGTCCATAGCCTTGGTATCCTACCATTTTTACCGGGCTCGACGGACGACCGTCTTATTTGCAGAACGAGGGATGAACAGATCTTGCAGTTTTTCCGTTGTTTTCCCTCATTGAAACTGAAAGTTACGTCATTGCCACTTACTGCCCTTACAAGTCCGCGGATAGACTTATTTGCACCACCTCCAAATATCTAGGTTTTATCTATCTATCTATCGGTTCCTCAATTCAATCATGCCATTTCACTTCCAGTTCCTTTCGTGTGAAATCCTGGTGTTCGTTTTTGGGGGGACCAGGTCATGTATGTGGCTGGTGCAGACGAGTTCGTTTTAGTCCCTGCGGCCATTTTTCGCACCAGTCAGCTGAGCGGTGGCTCAGTCCATTTTCCTTCCTGTAAACAACCTGACGCTCTTGAAGCTATCATGATGCACTAGAAACCATGGCTTGGAGGGTTGCCAAATGATGTTTGGACGCAAACCTACCATTTAGCCCGAATTAAGGTTGGATGCAGTCACTGACTGGCTGACTAAGAGTCAAACTGCCTTGGTCAGGACACCGGGTCCACGTGGGTGGAGAGTGCGATAGATGCAATGCAAGTCAGTTATTAGTATAATACACGAGTCCTCTGCGGCCAATTTTCGCCCCAGCCAAATGATCGATTCTAACTGTGGCTCAGTCCATTTTCCTCCCTGTAAACAATTTGACGTTCTTGACGCTATCACGGTGCGCTAAAAGTCATGACTTGGAATGTTGTAAAATGATAACTTGATGACAGTAGATCACCTATCCCTTTGAAGAGTCGGCAACAGTAGCTTATGTAGCCCCACTCATTTT